TCGGATGATAACGTTTATACATTCCACCATCAATACCCACTGCCGAGTTGCAGACATTCATCTTTCTGATCAGCAGGCCACGAGCTGGGCGGAACGCGTTGTTATTGTCTCGCACATATGCCATAGGTTATTCGTGGCCATGGCGATGTTGCAGTACTGACCAAGCGGTTTTGAATCAATCTCTGCGGCCCTCGAACTTCTATTCTGTCTGAATGGCCTGTGACGGGATACCTCTGAAACATTTTGGTGTTCTCTGTTTTTTTCATATAGCAGGCATTGCCCACAATCAGGCCAATGCGGGATTTGGGTGGTCTGTGGGCGCAGGCAATCATTGTGATATTGATCTGCCCATTTCTACGATCATTAGCCGCTTAACGAAAAAGTTGTCGAAAATTGCAATTCATTTACATGAGTAGATGGCAGCTACTAGAGCCGCACCGCGCCCCGAGCCGTCCTCGGATAGAACTAGCTCGTATTCCGCTGAGCACTTAAGCAAAATGTTCATGTTCTCAATTAGCAGCTTATGGTAATTCGGATGATAACGATACATTCCACCATCAATACCTACTGACGACTTGCAGACATTCATCTTTCTGATCAGACAGACGAGACCGCAGGCCACGAGCTGAGCTGAACGCCTTGTTACTGTCTCGCAGATATACCGCAGACAGGCGAGATCCTTCTCGTTGCATGTTCTGATGCCCAGGTTATTCAGGACCATGGCGGTACTGCGGTACTGGCCAAGGGGCTCTGACTCAATCTCAGTTAGAAAGCGAGACTCGAATTTCCATTCCGTCTGGATGGCCTGTGACATGAGACCCTTGAAAATTACATCTTTCCTCATCAGGTCCAGTACGATTTGACGCACTATTTCGCCTAGATACACGCCAGAGATGCACTTGTCAAAGGTTTGCGTCATCGGATCGGGCGTCAGCTGGTCCATGGCCTTATCGTAGGATGTGCGTATGAAGTCCAATACGCCATTGTCTCCAAAGGATCCCCACTCACAGTTGACAATCATGTTCCGCTTACGGCTAGTCTGATACCTCTGAAACATTTCGGTATTCTCTGTTTTTTCTATATAGCAGGCATTGCAGACATTGCCCACAATCAGGCCAATGCGGCAGTTGGGCTGCCTTTGGGCGCAGGCCATCAGGGTTCCCGTCGTATCGCTTAGTATGGCAACAACCCTGACTCTGAGATCGAGACGGCTATCAATTGCCTGTTGCAGCATTTGGACAACATTATGGCCAACAACGTCTGGGCATTTGAAACCCTTTGTCCAGTTGACCAAAACGCCCTTGTTAATGGCCGTCTGTTTGCATGGAAACGAAAAGGTGAAGCCCAGTGGCAGATTATCCCATGCAATTCTATGCTCTATGCAAAATTCGGCCAGACACTCAGCGATATAATCAAAAAGTCTTTTACCCGAGCCAGTCAGTAGATTCTTGCCCAGGACAAAGCTCTTAGACTGGATATCAACATCTTTTTCGCTTTTAAGATCAACCAATAAAACACGAAAATTCGAACCGCCCAGATCCAGTGCTAGATACTTGCCCCGCTCCTTGCCTGAGGGTACATCCTGTACGTAAGTAATATAGCATTTCACCGTGGAACGCAAATTTGTTTCTTTCCGTAGGCCCATTTCGATTTCTTTGGTCAGGCGCTCAACAACCTCGAACATCTGATCTTCGGTTAGCGTGAACTGCTTGCAGATCTCATAGGCTTCTGGGAATTCTTGCTGTGGCGAAGCCATTCTTAAAAATCTGCCAAGGAGCGGGGCGCACAGCTGGCAAACAAAAATTTAGAATTTGTTGTTGAATCGAGTTTCGAGTTGTTTGGAAAACTGAATTAAAATTCAAGTTTTCAAATGGGCACAACAAAAGCCCAGATCCCTTGGGGCTTTCGCTTGCTGCGCCTGCGCGCCTGTCATGGCACAGTTACCGCCATATATGTGTGCACAAGCTACCTTCATTATATAAACACCTTAAACAATCATTTTTCAAATTAAATTCTGTTTTGACCGACTTACAAGGCCTAATATTCCCGTGCAACAACAACAAAAGGTAAACAAAGGCGCTCTGTGCGTGCGTTGAGTCGTGAAGGGGCAAAAGAGGGCACAATAGGCACAGGGTTACAATTCGAGTTTTTTTTTTGCCGTTTCAGGGAGTAGCAGTCTATTCAAAGTGCACTTGAAAATGCTGGGGAGCACCCGCGCGCCCCGGTTGCAGTCGCTGCATTTTTAGGTGTAGCCATTAAATTTAGAACTTTTTTCTGCACGCTTGTCTGCACGCCACAAAAGGTTGGATGGGGGGTATGTGGGAGCGGAGTTGTGAGAAAGAGGGCAGTCGGTAGTGATTAGATGGAAAATGAAGCGTCTGCTGGAAAAAAATGCAGCAAATATGCGAGAAAAACTGTAATTGTAAATAAGCTGGACAAGCAAAAAGCAATGAGATGAGGCAGAGAGTTGGTTGGATCTTTCTGCTTAGAAACATTTTTTTTATAGGCTTTAAATATATATAATAGAATGTAATGAGTCTGCAATGTCTTGTTTTCACAAGTTTCCATGCATCAATATATTGAATAATTTATATTTCGAAGTAAAGATTTAAACTTAAATAATAATGGAATATTAACTCGACATCAGGCTTCCTTGAAAAAAAACAAGCCTTTTATAAACCGAATATATTATAGTATTTTTTTTGAATAATAGGGAATAATTTATAATTCACTTGGATTTGATATTTAGATTAATGTTAGTAACAGCCCTCGCATTGTGCAAGTCTGTGACTGAGTCTGATTTTTTTTATTTTTTTTTGCCCCAGCTCTAAAATTAGTTTTTATTGTATGCAAGTTTCTTCTCTTTTTTTATTTTTTTTTTCGATTTGTGATTCCTTATTTGCTTTTTGTGGAAAGCATCAGAAATCTGCTGCTTCTTCTTGGACTTAATGCGACTGTTGTTGCTGTTGTTGTTGTTGTTGCTGTTGCTGTCTCGTGCTGTTGCCAGTTGCATGTGGCCGCTTTTATTGTTTCCCTTCAGCACTCTGCTTGCGTCTCTGCTTCCATTTGCACCTCGTGTGTGCTGCCGTTGGGCTGATTTTATTTTTAGTCTGCTTGCGGCGGGCTTCTGATTTTAAATCTTTGTTTTCTTTGCTGTTTTTTGCATCTCTCGATTTTTGTTTTATGGCTTTTGTTGTTATTGTGCTGGGTGGCTTGTTGCCATTTCTATTTTTTTTTTTATTTTGGCATGCTTCGCTTGAATTTGTTTGATTTTCCATTTAAGTTGAGTTTGTTTATTAAAATTGGCACACGTTACGTATGTGTGATATGCTTGTGTTCATATACGAGATGGCAATGTGTCTCCGCCTCTTTGTCTCTCTCTTTCTCTTTCTCTCCCTCTCTTTCTCTCACTCTCTCTCTATGCAAATATTTTGGTAGCACTGTATGGTTATATTACCAATTAATTTTTTTTATTTGTATGATTTTTGACAAATTTAGTATCATTTGTTTTGACCAATTTTCATTTGTTTTTTCATCGGGGTGAAGATAATAACAGCTATTCCCACGTCGAACAAATAATTGGGTCATGGTGCCATTTATCTAGGAATTTTTTTAATACCCTTGCAGAGGGAATTTTAATTTTGTCGTGAAATGTGTAAGTCATAGAAGAAGACATCTCCGACCCCATAAAGTATGTATTTTCTTGATCAGTATCAACAGCCGAGTTGATATAGCCATGCCCGTCTGTCTGTTTCTATGCGAATTAGTCTCTTAGTTTCAAAGCTTTCTAAATAAAACTTTGCATATGTCGGAGCCTGCTGGATCGGACCACTATATCATATAGCAGCCATAGGAACGATCGGTCGAAAATTAAGTTGTTGTATTAAAAACATTTTTGTTTATCAAGAGATCTTGACCAAACTTGACATTTAATAGATTTACTATGCGACTCATATAAATGCAAAATCCTATCAACATCGGAACACTATAACATATAGGTGCCATAGGAACGATCGGTAGAAAAGTGGGTTTTTGTATTGAAAACTTTTCCGGCATTACCTATTTTCCCTGTGCTTCTTAGATACGGCAAAGCATTATGAAAAGGTTGGGTCTGCGAAGATAGCTCTGCTTTCTCGTTTATATGTTTTTAACTTTTTACCAACAACTTATAAGAATAGAAAAAATACTTATGATTTTTAAATATAGGCATTAATTCGTTTGTGTTAAGATTAAAATAATGCGATAAAAATGATTTTGAGCATTTCCATTGAATATTTGTGATAAATGAAATGTTCATCAATAAATCGATTAATATAAATAACTTGAGGTGTTTATCATTCATACATCTCTTCATGAAAATCTTCATCTGTTATCTGTTTTTCTCTATAGTATATGTCTTCATGAAAATGCCTAAATGTTTGTTTACAAGCCGAAGAAAATCGAATAAAAGTCATTACTAAATCATGAGAAAATGAAAAAGAGCAGCGGCAAATCGAATAAATTTCTATTTACAAATAATGATTGATCTGACCAATTGGCAGAGGTGATGTGCAGTAAATAATGCTTAAAATAGTACAACAAAAATCGATATGCCTTGAGTCACAGCTGCTGATGCATTAATTGAAATTTATTGTCTTTGGACAATTCCTTGCCAAAATTATATTCAATTGAGTGGAAGTTTTCGCCTTGCGCCATGTTAACCCAATAAAGTTCATGAAGGGCACGCAAAACAAGAGTTCTGCTTGGGCGCAGAGGAGGGGGTGGTACATTTAAAACTGTTGACAAGTTGCCTGGCCCCAGCCCAACCTCAACGGACCAAAACTTTTCAACACCTTGGGCAAATAAATGCGTCGCTTGCTGCTGCGGCAAGCCCCGGGGTCGCCTCTCCGGGCAGCTCCCCCAGTTGCTGCCTGCTTCTTATTTCTTGTCTTGTCTATTTTTATTGATACAACAACGAAAACAACACTAACAACATATGAGATATGTACATATTTATTTACCTTTTTGATTTCATAAATCCAAAAATTGTGTGAGCTGCTCGCCTGCCGCTGTTAGCTGTTGGTTTTGTTGTAGTTTTGAGTTTTTTGAATATATTTTAAGTTTGGAACTGAGAAAACTTTAACACTTTTTAACACTTTTAATGGTATTTGTTTTTATTTTATTTGAATTTTTGCTTCATTAAAGTTAACCCACAGACATTGTGAGTATACGAAAACAAATTCGAATCAATTTAAATTCCACAGCATCAGCTAATTAGTCATACACTTTTGTTTTGCATTTTTTTGTCGGGTTTTTTTTTTTTTGTTTTGTGACTTTATTTTAAATTAACGCTTGCCTCATACATACATTTTGGCAGATTAACACAATAAAAGTGATATTATTTTGATTTTTGTTTTTTCCTCCGAATAAATTCTTTTTATTTCCTCAAACTTGCCTAGCAAGACTTGTTTTATATTGCTTATATTTAAAAAAAAATTATATCTTTAGTTTTTTGTTTGTTTTTTTTTTTTGTTTGTCAAAGTCAGCGGACTTTGAAGAATATCTGTTGGATACGCGCGCTGCAACTGTATGTAGGAAAAGCCTCGAAGAACAGTTTTTCCAAAACGTGCGAGCCGCGTGTGTCAGCAGCGTGCCTGCAACTGTGTATGGATGTGTGTGCGCGCGGTTGTTTGCGTGTGTGTGTGCGCGGCCGGCTGCTAAAAATATCCGTGAGTACGCGCGCTGCCGCTGTGTATCTATGTATCTGTATCCAATAACCCGAGATGGCGCACAAAAATACACGGCCCGCCGCCGTTGCTGCTGCTTGGAGAAAGGTGCGTCTGCGTCTCCGTATTCGACGTGCTGCGTCCGCTTGCTGCGCCTGTTCGTTATGCACTAAGCAGCATCGATTGTCGTCGTCGTCGTCGTCACCCGTCAATGTCGTCCACTCAGTTGTGTGCGTTTATGCTGGGCACCACTTAGCTTTGACTCCGTTAGCCAAGGCAACACGGCGTCTGAATAGGCTTACTGGGCCTGAGACGGGCTACAGTTGTTGTTGTTGTTGTGGCTGATATGCCCACACAGAACATGCTCCGGGAACCCGGGACCGGCACTTGTCTGATGCGCTGAGCGTGCGGCGCGCTATTGAAACGATCAATGAACGAAATGGAACATTAAAAAGCAGTACTTTACGTTTGTATCTTACAGATACGACTACGAGATGAAGCGAGCCAGCTCCACAGCCGACCAACAAACTGCTAAACCCACTGCCACCGTCGAGATCGTTGCTCGCCAACGCCAACACAGAGTCATTGAAGCCCAAATCCCGCTGAGCAACAGCAAACCAGTTCTTGGTACTCTCCACTCGTTCCACACTCGCACTCACCCACTCAAATCGCTCGGCTTGTGTGGGTGTCTCTGCGTTGGCAGGCCGGTCGGTTCGGTCGGATCTGCTGCTCTTGAGTGACTTTTTCGATTACACTTTTGATATTCGTGTTCAATTTTCGTTTTCATTTCGAGTTGAGTTTATTTCGTTTGAGTGCTCTCTGAGATTTGTCTGTTTGGGCAGCGCTCTGGTATGATCTAATATTGCCAGGCAGTTATTTATTTAAATTTATTACTAATTTTTTATTTATGTCGCTACTCTGCATTTATATATCAGTCAAACAATGTTATTTTTGACTATCTTTTACTCTTTTTCAGTCAGATTTTCAACTTAATACACACTGCTGATTTCTTTATAACCTAACTATTCAGAATGATGATCGCATAGATTCATCTCCACTATGTTAATGGAGTATCTTTGCTGTGTTATGCATTTTGAGTGCACAATGGGTCAGTCATTAACACTTATGTTTAATAATAGCATAAAAAGTAAATTTGTTGGGTTTAACTTAAAAATTCAATTATAGCTTACTTTTAAATAATAAAAATAATGATTCGAAATATGTATGTTCCTAATTGACTTTTGAAATATTTAAACAATTCAGGTTGCATAATAAAGAATTTGAGCAATATTTTTTAAAATTATTAAAATTAAATATGTTATATTGCCAGATGTATTAATACTAAATGCATGGCTAAGCTTAATAATTAATTTGATTTTGTCGGTAGAAAAAGTTTACTATTGCATTCAGAGCTGGCTGTTATTCTTTTACAAAGGCAGATCGCCCTTGTATGCGATTCTCAAAAGTTTGTTATAATTTTCCTCTATTTTTTACTATTAATGTATATTATTTTTAACGTCATGGATGATACGTTGATCCCGACCCAATCTTAATCTTTCTTTCGTTTCCAATCTATCTTTCCTTCTTTTCTTCTGTAGCTGTTTTAATGCCATAGATATGAATATGGGTTTGATTCTATCTCTTATTCTCTTCGTATTATTTGTTTGCCTTATTTTAAATTCATTTTTTCTTTTTACTTTCATCGGTAAATATATATTTCACACCACCTTCAACCTTCACTTTGGGACTGTTTTATTTATGGGTAATATATATTGTTAATTTTAGTTGTAATGCTTCAAAATTGTTTCTATTTACCTTTGTACTGAAATATCGTGTTGGCATTTAGATTTGTTGAGCTGCCTTTAAGATTGAATTTGTTTTGCTCGGCGTTCGGCTTATTAAAAGCCAAATGTGTTATGGTCATTTATTTAAGCAAATAATTATAATTACAATTGGCAACAGGCAATCGGTAATTGCAAAATGGATTTGCTCCTGCGGGCAAAACAAGTTGTATGACGACATTCATGTACTCATTCGAGATACTATATGAATACCCGTTGATAAATTGCTGGCTGACAAGGCGGAGCGGCTGATCGACTGAGCGACTGACTGACTGATCGACCGATCGACCCAACAGCAGCAGCAGCTGATTTGCTAGACTATTCATTTGTGTGTCGATCAGTTCGTCGTTGTTGTCTTTGGCTTTTATGTTCTGTGGCACACACATAAACAAATAAATCATGATGATAACAATTAATTTTGATTATAATTTTTCAGCAGCTCCGTCAGCTGTTCAAAAGTAAGCTGCATAAATTTGTTCATGTCGCAAGGTCAGCGAGTGAAAAATAAAAGCATGCAACATCAATTTGATTTGCGTGCGAATCGTGACGCTTTTGGGGAGTGACTGCTCTGTGGGGCCGTAAAAGGTACAAAGCATACATATTTAAAATGCTTATATAAGTCTACAAATTGGCCAATAGCATTCGGCCATAATATGCTGACAACTTAATCTATAGCCAAATCCAAAGACAGGAACATGACCAAACGCGCCATAATTAAAAAACAAACGTCACATTTTGATTATTTGTATGCTTTATTTTTTTTGTTTTATACTAGAGCTTAGAAGGTCAGAGGCTTAGGTAGAGGGGATTGTTTCAGATTAAAAAAAAATATTAATAATTTTATTATAGCTTATGACATTTCTTTGCCTCCATGTAGCTTTCGTTAACATTTGCTTCAATTAAAAGATATATATTTTAACTTTTGTAAATTTAGCTTTAAGTTTAATTTTGGAAGTATAAGTTGTTTTCTATTCAAAATCTTAGCTCAAACATGCAATACTTAGTAACGCCCATGGCTGCCAATTGCTTATGCAAATGTTCTAAGGCGGCTGGCCATACACACATTTGAATTTTCTACTCGCTTTGGCTTTTAATTACCAGCTTGCAAATCGCATTTACCTTAATATGGTCACAAAACGCGAGTCCAAGTCTATGAGTCGTTGGGGGTACTGAACGACGGCTATTCATACTACTCTCTTGACTGGTAGGAGGCCCGCTTAGGAAGTAGGAGAAGCGACGCAGACCTTTTATGGCCTGCTTTGGGAAAGCGGTGAGAAAGCCAAGTCTCAGTCTCCGCTAGATACTCAGCCGTGTTGGCTAATTGTGAGCATCGCTTTGGGCCAGCTTCTAGACAAGTTGTTGGCGTCGCTGTTAACTGCGCTTTGCGTTGGCGCTGGGTCGACTTTTGTGCGGGGGCGTCGCGACGTTAATTTTATTTATATTTTACGTAAATTTATTATTACAAATATTGTTATTGCCGCTTTCAAGCGGAAATACACTCGAAATGCCAGCAAAGCCGCCGCCCACGCGCCAATTCGATCTAAAACAACAACCACCTGCACTCTGGGCCGCTGCGCCGACTCATTCATTCATTCATTCATTCACTTGGGCAAGTGGAAGCTGGCGCATGAGTATGATCTTTGTCTATGGCTAAGATAACCACTTGTGTGGACTCGACTGGCAACTGTCGAGCGTAAATGCCAAGCGATTAAGTTGTTGTTTCTAATTAATTTTGTACGCATTTTCATTCAGTTTTTGCTTTTTTTGTCAAATATAATTTGCATAAGTGACGGCCGCCTAGAAAGTGTCCCTGGCTTTGGGCGTAGGCACGTGGGCTATTTTAATTAATTCGTAAACCAGCTTATGAATGGCGTAGTAGACTTTTTATTGATAATACATATGTGAAACACATTTTAGGAGAGTTTGACAAACTATCTAAATAATATAGTTGAATATATCAGGATTATGTATTTGAAATGAAATGCAAAATGGTTTATTGTATTCAAAGTAATAAATGATATGGCAAATTGTAGTTTATAGTAAACTATCAAACATTTTAAAAAATCAAAACAAATTAAATGAAAAACAATAGTTTTTTTTTGCTCGTGGTATTGAGTTATTGATTAAAGACTATGAAGACCAAAATGAATATGTGTGCCATCCATCAATTTTAATATCAAAAATAAGCTTCCAAGTAAACCATGATGAAAGATCTGCTTTATGTGAGTTTGATGCTAGTTTTATCACCCTGAGTGACATAATTACCGTGGGCACATAGATCACACATCTGAATGTCTAAGCTGATATGGAAATGGAAATGGATTTGTTGTAGGCGTGTTTTCATTATGTTGGCCAACACAAAAATTTAAATGCCTCAAGTTTACTCACACCGATTGCTCAATGGTCGAGTAATGTATATAGAGCTGGATTAATAGGTTGTAAAATCGGTCAGATTAACTAATGACAGCCAGAATGACTGACAATTCGAAATTAATTCCTGTCTAATTTTAACATGGCTGCGCTTAAAAAGACAGAAATAAATAAAATAATATGAGAACCATTATAATCTAAAACTAATCGTGTATTAATATTAATACGTATACGCTGCCTTGCTGACAAAGCATAACAAATCATGGGCAGGCACGAGAGGTGGCAAATGCAAAAGTCAAAGCACGGGCAGAGGCAGATCTTGGCCAAGTTAATCGTGAGCGATGGCTGTGACTGTGTAAGTGTGTGAGCGTGAGTGTTTGTGTGTGTGTGTGTGTTATGTCTGCTGCTCATTGAAACGTGATTTTGACTTGTGATTGCCCATTTGTTGCTGTTGTTGTATTTTTATACCCTGAATCCATTGAAAATGGTTAATAAGGGTATAATGTTTTTGTGCAAATGTATGTAACGGGCAGAATGAAGCATCTCCGACCCCATAAAGTATATATATTCTTGATCAGCATCAAGAGCCGAGTCGATTTAGTCGTCCGTTTTTTCGTCTGTCCGTCCTTCCGTATGTATGAACGCAAGGATCTCAGAACCTATAAGAGCTAGAGACTTGAAATTATAGCTTGAAGAATAGCTGTAGGTCCTCCTAGTTCCCGCGCAAATCAAGTTTGTTTGCCCAGCAATATTAGCCACAATTTAAATATAATAATAACCGAATATCTGATAGTACAATAATATGTACTGCTAAAAATTTCATCAAGATCGGCTAAGAAATACAAGAGAACATTTATTTTGGTCGTTTTCTTCTCATTGAGACCCAATTATTGGTGTGGCTGTTGAGAATAGGCGAGCACTGCCAAAGGAACATTTTTTTTAAATTTATCTTTATTATTACTAAAGCATAAGAGCGCGTAGCGCGAGCTGCATTTGGTGTTCGAATAAGAGAGTTCAGGGTATCCCCGCGTCGGGAGTTCCCGACTAGAACCCCTTGTTTGTTGTTGTTGTTTTTGGTTGACCGTCAACATTTAAGTCATTTAACATTATGTATCAGCTGTATGTTGCCAGCTGTAATCCCCCAGCAGCGCTGTCGTCATCGACTTGGCTTCTGCTGGTTCTGTTTGTGCCGTTGCTTTTATTAATTTGGCTTCAATTAATTACGCTACAAATTGGCAACAAAACGTAACCGCAGAGGCGCGCAAAACTGTTCCAATTGCCACCAGTAAATGGAAAATGCAAA